CAAATGCTCCAGCCGTCACAGTACCCAGTCGTAATTCTTTTCCGCTTCCACGGTGAGAAAGTTGTATCAGCGTATCAGATTATTTATTTCTGAAACGTAATTCACGAGGAATGACGATTATTGTTCATACTTATTTGAGATATCTAAGTAGGTCATCATTCTCAGGCTGAATCATAAGGTCATAGTCAGAGCACAGTCATTATCCTGGTGCTGATGTTCTTGTTCTGAAATAATTTAAGATGACTAGTCACTAACGATTAACTTTGTTGTGACTCTTACAGTGCAGGGAATCCTCCAAGTCGTGATCTGCCTGAAAACCATGAACTCTTTCGGGAACTTTCAGACATGTACCGAAATAGGTAGGTAGAACTTTGTAGTGATTTGTGTTTTGCATAACTACTCAGGGACAAGCCATAGGCATGCATGCACGTGACGCATAGTTATTATTCGTTGTTAACACGTTAAAACTATCAGCTATAAATAAATAATCACTGACAGGATATGTTGTATATTTATCTATAGAGAATATAGATCAAGTACTCATAATCCATAATCAGTTCATAATTTATCTGATATCTTTATAGTGATGCAAACTTTCTGGAGCAACAGAATTATCTTGGACATAGAAACATACCCTCACAAGATATCCTCAGCATGATTAGTGGGTATGTAAAATTATGTTCACAGTCTCCAGATTAGGGAAAAGGTTAATCAATGTCCAGTGTTTCTTTAGTTATCATTCAGATATGATTTATGATGACGAGTGAATTCAAATAACTTCAAGCACTGATTAATGTTTACTTATCAGAGTGCCTCATGATGATCAGGAGCTGGACCCTTATGATTCATCACCAGACTTTTTCAACGAGTTCCAGAGGTAAGTTCATTGGATTTGTGTTCTTGAACCTGCCAAATCAATGAATATTTATCTGTGTACTTTCCCTGATGATATGGTAATGCAAAGGAAACTGATTTAACCATTTTGAAAAAAACATTGAAAACACACAAAAGACACAAATACACCATTAGAGCAGACTTACATTAAAAAACAAACAAACTCAGACACTGACATATGTCTTGGATGGCATTCTCGCAGGTCGCCTATTGGACTGGTATTGCAAGCTCCTTTAGTCCCCGATTTCCTATCACATATCACTTGTAGCACTCAGCCATTACAATTCAAGGCACTGAATCCAGTTGTAGTTGAAATACTGTGGGACTGCACAATTTATGAGGATAGCTTTGAGTGAGTGTTAGATTGTCTGAACACTAACCCCACTTTTGCCACTGTTTATTTGGTGCAAAACGCAGTGGTCACACGGGAATCATATGTAACAAAATTATGATTGCATTCCTTTTAATATGATGAACATGTACAGGGATCAAGAAAACTCATCACTGGAAGAGCTTCAAGAGTCTGGCCATGCTTATGGAAACTTTGAAGAAGCTGTGGGCAATGTAGGAGTTGTGGGCGCGGATGCCCATACTCCAAATGCTCCAGCCGTCACAGTACCCAGTCGTAATTCTTTTCCGCTTCCACGGTGAGAAAGTTGTATCAGCGTATCAGATTATTTAATTCTGAAACGTAATTCACGAGGAATGACGATTATTGTTCATACTTATTTGAGATATCTAAGTAGGTCATCATTCTCAGGCTGAATCATAAGGTCATAGTCAGAGCACAGTCATTATCCTGGTGCTGATGTTCTTGTTCTGAAATAATTTAAGATGACTAGTCACTAACGATTAACTTTGTTGTGACTCTTACAGTGCAGAGAATCCTCCAAGTCGTGATCTGCCTGAAAACCATGAACTCTTTCGGGAACTTTCAGACATGTACCGAAATAGGTAGGTAGAACTTTGTAGTGATTTGTGTTTTGCATAACTACTCAGGGACAAGCCATAGGCATGCATGCACGTGACGCATAGTTATTATTCGTTGTTAACACGTTAAAACTATCAGCTATAAATAAATAATCACTGACAGGATATGTTGTATATTTATCTATAGAGAATATAGATCAAGTACTCATAATCCATAATCAGTTCATAATTTATCTGATATCTTTATAGTGACGCAAACTTTCTGGAGCAACAGAATTATCTTGGACATAGAAACATACCCTCACAAGATATCCTCAGCATGATTAGTGGGTATGTAAAATTATGTTCATAGTCTCCAGATTAGGGAAAAGGTTAATCAATTTCCAGTGTTTCTTTAGTTATCATTCAGATATGATTTATGATGACGAGTGAATTCAAATAACTTCAAGCACTGATTAATGTTTACTTATCAGAGTGCCTCATGATGATCAGGAGCTGGACCCTTATGATTCATCACCAGACTTTTTCAACGAGTTCCAGAGGAGGTGGGTTCAGTGGATTTGTATTTTTGAACTGGCTTAATCTATGTAACATTTATATATCTACGTTCCCTGACGATATGACTGCAGTAAAATTTTGTTAGGATAATGCAAATGAAACTAATTTAACATACTGACAAAACAATGAAAGCAGATCAGAATCACATTAAAAAAAAGTCAGACACATGCATATATATACACACACAAACGTGTATCTTAACATTTAACTTGGGTAGCATTCTTACAGGTCAGCCATTGCAGAGGTTTTCAAAGTGTGAGTCCTAAAATAATTTTGCGAGACCTGCACCCTTCCTCCTCTTCTTCTCACTACTCATCCTAACACGTCTAGTACTTGTTAGCTATAGTCGACCTGACCGATGCTCGATAATGCATGTTATGCGTGCTTTCTTATGTATGCATGTGTTCTAGTAATTGTGTGAACAATATGTAGCAAGACCGGATGGCAGATTCACACCTCGGTCCAAGCAGCTGCCTTTCTGCTTGGGCAGGACGCAGGTGCTGCCTTCCTTTCTCTTTTCACACATCCGCCCTCCAAGGAAACCGCCGCATAAAAGGGCACGCGCCTAAGACGAGAGTGAGACATGGCAGATAGACCAAGCCACACAGGGTCCAGCTCCACCACCTCGTCTTCCACCCGGGGACACGGGGGTCTCTTGGGGGGTCTCATATTTAGCTTCAGAAATAAACCAACAAGTTAAGACCCCTTTCATTGACCGCCCCAAGACCATCTCTGTTACGCTTATATCTGGTGGCTTTGGCTTGCGGTGGTCACTTACGCTTGCAGATTGGCAGAAATTCTTTGTTGCTATGGGACTGGGTCGCCAATCAAATAGAATAATTTGATTCCACCTATGGAAGACCTGTTGGACTAGAAATTCAAGCACCCTGTTTCCGATTTGATATCACATTTTCGGTTTAATTAATATCCGCAAATCATGAGAAATGACGATTTTATTCAACGTATTTGAGATATTTAAGTAGGTCATCATTCAAATACCCAGGGACAACCTGGAACAAACCCAGGATAATTTGTACGCACGAGACACATAGTCCTTATCTTTCTTAACACAAACCGAATAATATTAGCAATAAGGAAATAAGTACTGACAACATAGTGTGTTGTATAATAACCTATTGAGTGCACATGATCCATGTTCAGCTCATCATTTATCTAAAACCTCCTGGAGCACTGATTAATGTTTACTTATCAGAGTGACTCATGATGATCAGGAGCTGGACCCTTATGATTCACCACCAGACATTTTCAACGAGTTCCAGAGGAGGTAAGTTCATTGGATTTGTGTTCTTGAACCTGCCAAATCAATGAATATTTATCTGTGTACTTTCCCTGATGATATGGTAATGCAAAGGAAACTGATTTAACCATTTTGAAAAAAACATTGAAAACGCACAAAAGACACAAATACACCATTAGAGCAGACTTACACTAAAAAACAAACAAACTCAGACACTGACATATGTCTTGGATGGCATTCTCGCAGGTCGCCTATTGGACTGGTATTGCAAGCTCCTTTAGTCCCCGATTTCCTATCACATATCACTTGTAGCACTCAGCCATTACAATTCAAGGCACTGAATCCAGTTGTAGTTGAAATACTGTGGGACTGCACAATTTATGAGGATAGCTTTGAGTGAGTGTTAGATTGTCTGAACACTAACCCCACTTTTGCCACTGTTTATTTGGTGCAAAACGCAGTGGTCACACGGGAATCATATGTAACAAAATTATGATTGCATTCCTTTTAATATGATGAACATGTACAGGGATCAAGAAAACTCATCACTGGAAGAGCTTCAAGAGTCTGGCCATGCTTATGGAAACTTTGAAGAAGCTGTGGGCAATGTAGGAGTTGTGGGCGCGGATGCCCATACTCCAAATGCTCCAGCCGTCACAGTACCCAGTCGTAATTCTTTTCCGCTTCCACGGTGAGAAAGTTGTATCAGCGTATCAGATTATTTAATTCTGAAACGTAATTCACGAGGAATGACGATTATTGTTCATACTTATTTGAGATATCTAAGTAGGTCATCATTCTCAGGCTGAATCATAAGGTCATAGTCAGAGCACAGTCATTATCCTGGTGCTGATGTTCTTGTTCTGAAATAATTTAAGATGACTAGTCACTAACGATTAACCTTGTTGTGACTCTTACAGTGCAGGGAATCCTCCAAGTCGTGATCTGCCTGAAAACCATGAACTCTTTCGGGAACTTTCAGACATGTACCGAAATAGGTAGGTAGAACTTTGTAGTGATTTGTGTTTTGCATAACTACTCAGGGACAAGCCATAGGCATGCATGCACGTGACGCATAGTTATTATTCGTTGTTAACACGTTAAAACTATCAGCTATAAATAAATAATCACTGACAGGATATGTTGTATATTTATCTATAGAGAATATAGATCAAGTACTCATAATCCATAATCAGTTCATAATTTATCTGATATCTTTATAGTGATGCAAACTTTCTGGAGCAACAGAATTATCTTGGACATAGAAACATACCCTCACAAGATATCCTCAGCATGATTAGTGGGTATGTAAAATTATGTTCATAGTCTCCAGATTAGGGAAAAGGTTAATCAATTTCCAGTGTTTCTTTAGTTATCATTCAGATATGATTTATGATGACGAGTGAATTCAAATAACTTCAAGCACTGATTAATGTTTACTTATCAGAGTGCCTCATGATGATCAGGAGCTGGACCCTTATGATTCATCACCAGAATTTTTCAACGAGTTCCAGAGGTGGGTTCAGTGGATTTGTATTTTTGAACTGGCTTAATCTATGTAACATTTATATATCTACGTTCCCTGACGATATGACTGCAGTAAAATTTTGTTAGGATAATGCAAATGAAACTAATTTAACATACTGACAAAACAATGAAAGCAGATCAGAATCACATTAAAAAAAAGTCAGACACATGCATATATATACACACACAAACGTGTATCTTAACATTTAACTTGGGTAGCATTCTTACAGGTCAGCCATTGCAGAGGTTTTCAAAGTGTGAGTCCTAAAATAATTTTGCGAGACCTGCACCCTTCCTCCTCTTCTTCTCACTACTCATCCTAACACGTCTAGTACTTGTTAGCTATAGTCGACCTGACCGATGCTCGATAATGCATGTTATGCGTGCTTTCTTATGTATGCATGTGTTCTAGTAATTGTGTGAACAATATGTAGCAAGACCGGATGGCAGATTCACACCTCGGTCCAAGCAGCTGCCTTTCTGCTTGGGCAGGACGCAGGTGCTGCCTTCCTTTCTCTTTTCACACATCCGCCCTCCAAGGAAACCGCCGCATAAAAGGGCACGCGCCTAAGACGAGAGTGAGACATGGCAGATAGACCAAGCCACACAGGGTCCAGCTCCACCACCTCGTCTTCCACCCGGGGACACGGGGGTCTCTTGGGGGGTCTCATATTTAGCTTCAGAAATAAACCAACAAGTTAAGACCCCTTTCATTGACCGCCCCAAGACCATCTCTGTTACGCTTATATCTGGTGGCTTTGGCTTGCGGTGGTCACTTACGCTTGCAGATTGGCAGAAATTCTTTGTTGCTATGGGACTGGGTCGCCAATCAAATAGAATAATTTGATTCCACCTATGGAAGACCTGTTGGACTAGAAATTCAAGCACCCTGTTTCCGATTTGATATCACATTTTCGGTTTAATTAATATCCGCAAATCATGAGAAATGACGATTTTATTCAACGTATTTGAGATATTTAAGTAGGTCATCATTCAAATACCCAGGGACAACCTGGAACAAACCCAGGATAATTTGTACGCACGAGACACATAGTCCTTATCTTTCTTAACACAAACCGAATAATATTAGCAATAAGGAAATAAGTACTGACAACATAGTGTGTTGTATAATAACCTATTGAGTGCACATGATCCATGTTCAGCTCATCATTTATCTAAAACCTCCTGGAGCACTGATTAATGTTTACTTATCAGAGTGACTCATGATGATCAGGAGCTGGACCCTTATGATTCACCACCAGACATTTTCAACGAGTTCCAGAGGAGGTAAGTTCATTGGATTTGTGTTCTTGAACCTGCCAAATCAATGAATATTTATCTGTGTACTTTCCCTGATGATATGGTAATGCAAAGGAAACTGATTTAACCATTTTGAAAAAAACATTGAAAACGCACAAAAGACACAAATACACCATTAGAGCAGACTTACACTAAAAAACAAACAAACTCAGACACTGACATATGTCTTGGATGGCATTCTCGCAGGTCGCCTATTGGACTGGTATTGCAAGCTCCTTTAGTCCCCGATTTCCTATCACATATCACTTGTAGCACTCAGCCATTACAATTCAAGGCACTGAATCCAGTTGTAGTTGAAATGACTAGAAATTCAAGCACCCTGTTTCCGATTTGATATCACATTTTCGGTTTAATTAATATCAACGTATTTGAGATATTTAAGTAGGTCATCATTCAAATACCCAGGGACAACCTGGAACAAACCCAGGATAATTTGTACGCACGAGACACATAGTCCTTATCTTTCTTAACACAAACAGAATAATATTATCAATAAGGAAATAAGTACTGACAACATAGTGTGTTGTATAATAACCTATTGAGTGCACATGATCCATGTTCAGCTCATCATTTATCTAAAACCTCCTGGAGCAACAAAATTATCAGGGACATAGAAACTTGTTCTCCGGAGATACCATATTTATATTATATGGGTATGTAAGATTCATGTTCGTTCTCTCCAGTTTTTGGAATAAAGTGGAGACAAAATTGAGTCTTAATCAAATGCCATTGTTACCCGCGTTAGCATTCAGACATAATGAATAATACTGAATGAAATGAAACAAGCACTAATTAGTGCATGTTTATCTGGTTGCCTTATGACGATCGGGTGGTAGAAGATAGTAATACCTCACAGGACATTATTAATGAATGGCATAAATTGGTTTTTGTTTTATAACTTGGCTAATTAGTGTAATCCGGTTTAAAATTGGTGTTTTTAAACATTCCTGGTTCTGTTACCAATATTCACGTTTTTTCGTAGAAATTTAAGAACGTAACCAAGATGTTTGGTTTCTTCTAGCCATGAGCAAGCAGTGAACATATGAGCTTGCGCAGGAACTTTCGGCGTTTTTGCGAAATAAAATTCTTACGGCTTGTAATTGCCAAAGCGAGGTAAACGACATCACTCATGATAGTGAGATTGTAGTTACATAAAATAATTAAAAGTTTTAATTACCTGTGATAAAGTCAAATTACAAAAATCCATGTAAAATTTATATGTAACCATGATGTAATAGCCGAAACTTGATGCGTTATCAGATTCCGTGCTGTAGACGTAAGTGACTGAGAGAGAGCATTTACATTTACCTTATTTCGTCTCGGACAATGCGGTCCGACCCAAAGACTAAGTAAGGCTAAAGTTAAATCAAATACGATCCTGCCACTTGTGTTCCTAAACGCGTCCAGTCTGAGCAGCTCTTACCTCTCGTGGGTCCAACCCAGCATGCCCCATCGTTCCCACCTAAACCGCGGTCTGGAAGCACATTCAACTCTCCAGTGCCCAGTGGGTTTTAAAGGGGGTTTCAAGTCAGTATCGCCAGATACGCCATGCCATGCTGTACGGTGGTCGGATACAAAGTTGATACATATCGACTTTGGTTCTTATTAAAATAAGAGAAGATTAGATGTTGGGGAGCTTGCTGATAATAGAGAGTTATGTTGTTTTAATTTGTTTTTTTTTTCCTGTGCTAACTTGTATTCTGTCAGTGTTTACAGATCTGCTGCACATTTCCTTATATTGCCCTTGGCCGTCCTGAACATTACACAAGAATCCAAATAAATTTTGGTACTTTTTCAGTAGTTCAAATGGTGGCTCAAGTGTTTACAATCTACCTTTTGATTAAAACACTGCTCCGTGAAGGCTGTTTTTGGATCTGTTATAGGTTCATCTGTAGATTCGTAATCACATAATTCTCTTTTTTTGCGAGGTCATGCGGTCGAGGATGGTGCGGGCCGGGATAATACAGCCCAAAGTAAAACCGCCCAGGGTATGCTGTCTAGGGTATGCAGCTGGTTAATGCAGACTGGGGTTCTTCCACCTTATGCAAAAAATATGGAGGCTGAAAATGAAAAGCATTAGGAATAAAACATCATTATTGTATTGTCACTAAGTCACTTCATTTTCATTTGGTCACGTCACTTCACTTACAATTTTCGTATTAAAAAAATATATATGATAAATATAGAGGCCTACTTACAATGTGTATCAGTGTGGAGTTCGGAGCCAAGTGGCTGACCATATAACGGCGACCACCGACCATGGCTTTCTTCATGTTCGAAGCAAGTGGAACCAAATGGGTCGCTGACGCACACGAGCATGCGCGCACTCACACTTCGCACACAAGACAACAAAATACTAAGGGAAACCATCACTAAACCCTGCACATAATACATGCACATATTTATATATAACATATATGAATATGGTAAATATGAATATATGTATATATATGTGTGTGTGTGTATAAGTAGATATATAGATATGTATATATAGATATATTTGTGTCTGTGTATCTATCTATCTATATACATATCTATATATCCATATATACATTTTAAAAATATTTATACATATAGATAGATAGATAAAAGATAGATAGAAAGATTCACACAGTCATCACTCACTCTCTCTACACACACACACACACACACACACACACACACACACACACACACACACACACACACACACACACACACACACATATACATACATATACATATATATATATATATACACACATATATATATATATATATATATATATATATATATATATATATATATATATATCGCGCTTAATCTGTTTTGAAACAATATATGATTAATTGACTGTAAATAACAAATGGTATTTCCACAGGACCCTGTATCCAGTTCATCAGAACTATGAGGCAGTGGATGATTTTCCTAATCCAGTTTTTGCTCGGGCCCGCCGGGATGGGTATGTATCGACGTCATTTGCTTAATGCCAGTTCACACTCTTTACACACTTGCATGCATATACACACTGTAAGTCATTCACTTATGATTACACATTTAACTCTTAAAATATTTTATGTTCAAGCACGCGCGTATCTACATGTGTAAATAGCCTAATCAAACAAAAATACGTTTTAGTCTGCGATTCAAACTTCATCACGGGGTCCGGTTTAATATTAGACCAAGTAGGCTCGTCGGTATTTGAGGGCCCGTTAAATATGTCACGCAGTATAGCAGCGTTTATTCTTGTTTCAAGTATTTTATTGCATCACGAGGCCTTCTGTACTATAAGTATAGAGTTTGGAGTATTTGAGCCCACAAATATATATATATATATATATATATATATATATATATATATATATATACATACATACATATGTATATAAGTGTGTTTATATATGTATACACACCCACACAAGAATGTGCGCGTGTGTGCGTGCGTGCGTATGCGTATGTGCACGTGTATGTATATGTATATATATATGTGTGTATGATTATATTTATATATGTATATATGTGTGTCTGTATGTGATTACATAATTTCTATATCATTATCATTATTTGCTTAAGAAATTGTATATTATGGATCTGCATTGGTTATCTGATCAAGCCTGTCGAAAGATTCAGTAAAATGACGCGGATTCACTGTTTTGCAAGGTTCGTAAGATATTTCTAGAGATCAGAATTTCTTGACTTGACGCAGATAATTTATGAAGTGGATGGAATCAGTCTATCATTCAGGGACTTCTGTTCATTTCCGCTTCGAACGCCACGATTTAAAGTTATTGACTCGATATCGGTCGTACATGTCCAGTTTAAGAGTTGAGGTGGGTATTCAATTATAATAACTTTTTTTCAGCCTGCAAGATGACGAACAATACCCTCGTTCAACAAGTTAAAGCAATAACTGCAATGAGTGGCCGGGCCCAGGGACAGATAACCCATGATTATACGAGGGACAGCCTAGACCATTTTCTAGAGGAAGGACACAGGGCCTCTGTGAAGACACCGAATGAAATGCTTCGAAACGCTGGCTTCTCCGAGGCGACATTTTGTCCTTCCTTAACATAATTTTTTGCACTTGGTTTCTTTTTGTTTTTATCTTGCACTTGGAGTCAGTTTCAAACACTTAGATGTGAATGCTTTTCTAGTTTGTTTTTTTTATCGCTTATATTATAAAATTATGAACTTCCTTTTTACTGGGTTTACTTTAGTATTAGACGATTTTTAGTAATTTTAGAACATATCTTGTGTGTTGAGAATGTTCATTTGTGCAGGTACTGTTATGTAATCTGGTCCATTATACTTCTTGTGTTTATTTTGGATAGATGTAGTGAATTCCATAAGCTTGTGTGCGTGATTATTTCATTTCTTTGGCATTTCTTTGCTTCTGTATGCTTTGCCTTGTGTTAATTATTATGAAACTCATTAAGCCCAAATTTTCTTAAACAATATCCAGACTGGTTACTTTGATCAACACGTAAATTACTTTCAAGAGTCCTTTGTTCAGTTTTGGCAATGTATTTCACACACAAAAAAGGAACAATTAAATAGATGAAAAAAACGAAATTTCCAGTCTAGAAGCTGCTTGGTTACGTTTAAATCAACATTCAAAGTCAAACGCCAGTTTCACTGCGGTCATACTGCCACAAGTAATCTCCAATCTCCTTCCCCGATCGCTCGAGCTTAAACCTCAGGCGGTGTTATCGGGAAAGGGTAATGGAACACCCACTCATTGTATCAGGAAAATCGACTGCCACTTGGATTTAGGCCTGCAGTAGTGGAGGTAGTTTAGTCGATGAACATATAGTGACACTGAGACTGAAACACTTGTTTGGTTTCATGTACCTTTTTGCCATGTACATTACCATGACTTAGGTAAACGGTGTTTTAGAGATGTTCTAAGTCAGATTCGCTTTCGTGGATCTCCTCACATTATATTTGGCTGACTTAAATGCAGGTGGCTATGAGAGGTCTTTTAAATTAGGAGGAACTAGTCATAGACACTGATTCCAAGCAGAAGGCTGAGCAGCGAGTATTTACTGCATCCTTACTTGACTGCCGAAGTCAGATGGTGAACCCATGGCTTGGTACCATTCACCTGGACCTAGTGAGAAATGTAGTTGTTCTTGTCTGGAAAGGGAGACGGGATTGCTGGGACTGAAGCAGTTATCGAAGCAGTTCACTGTTCTACTTACAAGGCAAGATATATTAATCTGGGGCGGGATACTCAAAACAGTTTACAATGTTGTATCTCGCATCGGAGCAGTTACAATGTTGTAACTCCTCCGAGGCCATACTCGAAACAAAAATAGCCGCCATGTTATGACGTCACACATTGTAAAGTACCTTGTAAGTTACAACTGCTCGGGAGCTCTTGTAAGGGTTTCAAACCGGATATATTACGGTTTATTTCCCGATTACTTAGTCGACAAAAACCTTTATTTGACTGTAACATGCCTTTTCCATGTTTAATACCGGGGAATTTCAATTGTCTAGCATACTCTCTGTTTTCTATGCATTATCGTTATTTTAAATCAAATATGAATTGACTGAAAATTGAGTTGACAGACGACACACGACACACAACAATGTTTTGGTGGCTGCTCATCCTCATGACCGAGCATTGCAGCGCGAAAGACATTATAATAGGGAACCAATAGTTTCACGCTATGGCAAGGATAAGCATTTATTGCGATATCACAGATTTCTTAGATTTGTTTTACTATAACCTTCTTTGATGCCTAATATCCAACTAGACAATCCTTGATTTGAAGTATAATGGCGCCCTACAATCCAGGAAAGGCAGATGTGCTAAGATTGTTACAATGAGTGGCATGCACTGTGCTGTAAAACTGGTGTAGCTAGGAAACTGTAATAGGTAAATATTGATTGATTAGGTAAATATTTTAGGTGGTTTGTAAGCAAGACATTTTTAGTGCTTTAATGCTTAATAAATTACAAATAGCAGTGTGTTTTGCCTTGTTTTATTTCAGTTCAACCTAAGTAAAACCATTCGCACCTGTTAAACCAATTGCAGATGGCATGGCGTACTGGACATACCATTTCCATTGCAATTTTAGTTATTGATTGCATATGTATAAATGTATATGTATAAATAGGAATATGTATATATGTGTATATATATAATAATATATAATATATATATATGTGTGTGTGTGTATATGTATGTGTTTATGCATGTACATATGCACACACACACATATGTATAAATATGTATATATATATATATATATATATTGAAGGCCACTAACAGTCGATGTTGACTATGGTTTTATTGTTACACACATGTATACATGCATTTGCAAAAACTGGGTTAGTTCAGTACGTGTATGGTAAAGGCTATAGGAGTTTACCCTATACAAAACAACTGCTGCCTTGTAGTTTAGTCCGTGTATAGTAAAAGGCTATGGGAGTTCACCCTATACAAGACAACCCACTGCCTCGTGGCATATATAACATGGGAAAGGCTTTGGGAGTCAACCCTGAAGAAAAACCTGGCGGCGGTTCCATGTAGCTTCCGACTTTGTTCTGGCAATTCCTGTGATGCTGATGGTGCTAGACTGCTATATAGGCAATAGCTCCTCTTTTGCCCAGGCTTTGACTTTATCTTCGTTGCCCCACTGGCGTAAAAACGTAGCGAGAAAGGCCATTCCCGATGGTGGGAGAGATCCCATGGCCTCATTAAACAAGCTGGGCAACCCCAGCCTATAAAGTGCTGCCTCGCCACAGTTTGCTCTCCTCTTAGGGTGGATGGGGATCAGGGATCAAACCCAAACTGCACACTGAAACACATGTACCAAACAAAAGGAACAATAATAATCCAATTCTTAAACTGGGTACCTGGAATGTCCATACAATGCTGACTGGATATTCAGACTAACTCCAAAACTAACTCCTGAGACCAAGGATGAGTTTTATGAGCACCTGTCAGCTATCATCAGCAGTATCCCAAGCAAGGAGCAGATTATTCTCCTAGGCGACTTCATTGTAAGAGTGAGCACTGACAGGGACACTGACAGGTCCTCATACCTTGGTCGCTTTGGTGTTGGAAAGATGAATGACAATGGCAAACAGCTGCTAGAGTTCTGCACCTTGTACCACCTATACATCACCAACACATTCTTCAACGTCGAGCCGCAACACAAGGTCTCCTAGAGACATCCCTGGTCCAAGCATTGTCATCAGCTTGATCTCCCCCCCAATCCCTTGCCCGTTGTTGTCGTGGGGGGGCTTAGGAGGCGGAGACTGGGACCCAATGATGGGGAACTCCCCAACCTTGGGACTCAGCCCTCGACTCAACTAATTATGCATGGTCTTTTTTTCCCTTCCCACTTTTGTTTCTGTCCCTTCACCAAACCCTTCTGCTATCCACCTCCTAAGGTGTGAGAGCCGTGCTGAAAGGATGAAAGGCTGACTTTGTGCCAGTCCTGAACGGCCTGAGGGAGCCATGGGCACGGTATTCCCCTGATTTAGTTATCTAGCCCTTACCCCTCAAGGGGACCCTGAGGGGTGGATTGCTTTTATCCCCAACATAATCCAGGCTTCCCATGGCCAGTAATGAAAATATATCACCACTGTTAGGGGCAATGAGGCTTGCCCCTTTATCAAATAGCCCCAACGAAGTAAACCCACCCGATTCCCCGACCCCAGGCTCTCCTTTGACCACGGCTCCAAACACTGCAATAACTACCCCTTCACCAATGCCTACTAGTACAGTAGCCAACAATCAACCCTCAAGGGACATTTCCACTCTCCCAGCATGCCCAACTTCAACACCTCTACCCCCACAACCTCCAACATCAACCACCCCATCCTCCCTTATTAATACCTTACAGCCTTATTGCCCACCTCTCCATAACACTACCTCCATCAACACTACTCCATCTTCGTCACGCCCTCGCCCTTCTACCACCCCTATCTCTAAAACAATCTTGAATACTCTCTTCAGTGCAGCCAAATGGGACCGATTTTTCGTGATCCCTCCCACAGCTCCCTACTCTAACAACACCCTTCTCTTCCAACAATGCCTCCAAAAACAAGTAGGTAAAGTCTCTTTCCGTAGCCGACCCGACCGCTCCCGTCTTGTAACAGTAACATCCGAAAACCAAGCCATAGCACTAACAAAACTAACTGACCTATATGGTAACCCCATCCTAGCAGAACCCCATCCAACCCTCAATACTTGCACCGGAACAGTCTCAATCTCCCCAGCAAATTGCCCAATCTATGACAAAGAATGGTCAGATTGTGGAGAAGATCTACTTGCCTGTCTCACAGACTACGATGCAACATCAGTACAATGCTATTCCATCCCCCCCAGAGGTCATCGAAAGAAACCCACTAACATAGCCAAAATTACCTTCCGTAGACATGACCTTCCCTTTAACGTCTACATAGGAGGAGAATCCCTCCCTGTTCGTCCATACCAACCTCCTCCACGTCAGTGCCAAAATTGTTGGCGTCTAGGACACCCAGCCAAACACTGCCGTTCCACAGCCAGATGCCCATTATGTGCCCAACCTGGCCATACCCGATCTAACTGCTCTGCACAATCACGCACATGTGCCAACTGTGGCGGCCCCCATAATGTATTTTATAGGGGCTGTCCCACCTACAAATTTGAATCTGAGGTAGCAACTCTCAGATTCAAACTCGGACTCACACTGCGTGAAGCCAGACAGGAAGCACGTCGACGTGGATTCTCTCTTACTCCTTACTCCAGTAATACCGCTCATCCTAACACTTCTCCTAAACCCACCCCTCCTACATCTAACCCCCCCACTAACCCCACCTACCTTCCCCAGTCAAACTCTTTTGCCATCCTAAATCCAGAAACTCCAATCTCTACTACAGATACTCCAATCACCACTACAACCCCAACACCTTCCCCTCTCCCTCCTCGCACTCCCCGTAACAGACAGAACAAACGTTCCACCCCCTCTTCCCCTACAACACAATCACCCCCACCATCCTTTGCCCGTACTCTTGAGACACCAGTCCTCTCTTCCCCCCCTCACAAG